TGTGAATTTTTGTAGTGCCAAACTCCTCTGATTTGTCCTATTTAGATCATAGTTATATATCCTGCCATTCATGTTTACTTAGCTTTAGGAGCTTATTCTTGAATAGCCAAGTAGGTTGAAAACTCCTCCTTCCAGGTGACAAGAACATCTTATATTATCTGTAGTCCCATATTTCAACCTTTTTTCAACAACCTAACATGTGATAGCTGCTAATTGATTATCTGGGCTTGTTAGTCACAGTGGAAGTGAGTGGTAAGAAGTCTCTCCCTTTATTGGAGTATTGATAGAGATTCAATACTGTAGAAAGTCAAACACCATTGTCCCCTTGGAGAAAGAGATGCAAGCCAAGAAGGGAGCTGCCCAGAATCTAAGATAAATGTGGCAATGCATCATTTTACTCAAGATCAGAGGTGCATTTATGCAACACTTTCAAATTCTCTCAACTCCTCTGCCTTTATTTTTATTATTGGGAAGATACTAATAGTGAAGAAAATAAAGTGAAATAAGCATTGTGAAATAAGTGAAATCAAGAGTTACTTAAAATAGAGTCAGGAGGCTATCAAGTAAGTTAGGCCAAAGCACCCAAGGCACATCTTGTGTCTCATTTCCAAAAGCCCTATTGCTAAACCTGTTGCTAAACTCAGCTCAAAACATCCTGGAGCCATAAACATCCTGGAACAACAACCTCTACATGGGCATATCTGGACTTTACTTCCTTCCTTATAGGATTCAGCTCCCCCTGAACATATTGGAACTAACCAATCTCTGTTCACCTAGGCAGCAAGCCTTCATTTGCATGCAAGAATTACATTGTGTGGGTTTGGCCTTTATCAATCTTGCCTTTCCTTTTCTCTGCAGTGCACAGTTTGGGTTGCTACCTGAATCTGTGTCTCCAGATTGTGATCCTTTGCTCAAATAAATACATTTTTATAGCCTATACCCTTCTTTTGGCTAACAATATGCGTACATATATACTAGTATTACCTGAACTAGGCAGGTAGGCTCTCTTTTGTGGCCACAATATCCCTAACCTTTGTTTTCCCCCTGGCATTTACCTGAGTTCACCTTGCCTTGCAGCCATCAATCTGATACCAGAAAGCAGAGGAATTAGCAAAGAGAGCGTGGGAAACTAGAGGCATTACTGATGATTCCAATAGAGGAAGAGAGCCAGCATAAAAATTGATTTTAACACAGTAATAGATCTCACACATTGAGCCCCACTATCTCAGATCCACCCAGAAAGGAAAATGTCCCTCCACTTTTAATTTAGTGACAAACTCCAAACCATTGCTTCATTTGAATCCGAGGGAAGCCATTTTCTTCTAGCGGGACATTGTGGGGAGACCAAGGAGGGGCCTTAGCACTGTCCACTACTTTGAAGAGGCAGGATGGGCCTCTGTTGCTTTTGCCAGAGGCTTCATTCTACTTCTGCAGGTCCCCTACCTCATTCATTTTAATTAGACAGATGCCTAAATCTTATCTGTAGGTATCAGTCAGGGACAATGCATGGTTTCCTGGCTAACCAATCAGACATGACCTTCTCTTTCCAGAGACAGGATTTTTAAAAAAGAGAAATCACTCATCTGGAATGTTTCCGTACTAAAACTAAATTTATTTCTCTAACCGTCAGATCCCTGATTTGTATAGCAGGATCTTCTCCTGATAACTGTATTCTTTGACTTCAATTTTAAAATTATGTAAATAAATACAAGTAGACAGTGATTCTGATTAAAATAAAGATACATGTGTCACTAGTATCAGTTTATTGTAGCATTGCCATTGTTAAATTCCTTTATTGTCACAGGGAAGAGTGAAAACCAATTTTGGTGCATGTATACTTTGCCTTAATTTAAATACTTCAAAAAAAGCATCAGTCTCTTTTCTGCTATGCAGCTCTTTTGCACATATTCCTAATTTCTCTATTGCCTTGGAAATTATAGTCCAATTGGATGCTCCTTCCCTGTTCTTGTGTAAATCCTCTAAAACAGGAAGAACAAATGTCCAAAAACTATTGCCATAGAGTTCTGTGAGAGAAACAAATACCTGGAAGTCTCAAGTCTTCAAACGTAATACTTGCTGGCCAAAGCCTAATAGGATGAGGAAATTGAGCAAATTTTGGACTTGAATTATTTTAAATATAGAATTTGTTCTAAAGATTTAGGAAGACAGAAAAGTTTTTTTTTCCCATATAGCTCTACTTAAATTATTGTTAGATAAAGAACAAAATTTTTGAGTGAATAATTGTTGGACAGAATAAGTCTACCTTATTTTCTCCCCCATTGCCCCATCAGCATTACATATGTATAGACAGACCATCCACTGAGTTCCCAGAGTCTTTATACTCTGTCTAACTGGTTATGATGCCTACTCTCAACTTAGGTTACAGAAAAATATATCAAGTGGGGGCTTTTTTTTTCAGTTTAACAAACAATAAATGGCTTCAAGTGACAGAGCTGTCTTTTCATCTTCTTAAACACAAGTGACCTTTTCATTACCAACTTTTGCAACACGGTTCTCAAAACAGCAACGCAAACATTCAAAAGGTACAGTTGAAGGGAGAGGGGAGTAAGAATACATAACTTTGTGCAATTGCTGGAAAACAAAACAGGCATTCATCAAAAGCTGTGGTACATTTACACAGTGGAATGCTATGCCGCTATTAAAGAAAAAAGGATCTTTTACCCTTTGAGACAGCATGGATGGGCCTGAAGATTATTATGCTAAGTGAAATAAGCCACTCAGAGAAAGATAAATATCACTTATATATGGAATCTAATGAACCAAATGAAATATGAACAAAATAGGTCCAGAGACAGGGAAGCATGGAACAGACTGACAGATCTCAGAGGGAAGGGAGGGAGGGGGCAGGAAGAGGTTAACCAAAGAACTTATATGCATATATGCGTAGTTCTTGGACACAGACCATAGTGTGATGAAGGCCTGGGATGGGGTGAGAGCCAGCTGGTGGAAGGGGTCAAAGGGGGGGAAATAGGAGACATCTATAATACTCTCAACAATAAAAATAACTTTTAAAATATTAGAGGCTGGATCTAACTATAACAAACTTCTTGATCCCGGTCAGGTCACATGGATAGAAATTTACATTCAAACGGAGCACCAAAATAACTTCCCTTCTGGGGGCAGTATAGATTTTAACCTCTTAGCAGGAGTGGCAAGGCTGAAAGAATAACTTTGGTGGGGGGTGGGGGGGGGCTGGAAGCTTGGAGTACTCCACAAATTTAAAGGGGAAGAAGTCAGTTTCCCTGAGACCTGTGGTGAAAAACAGGCCAGGGAGCAAATGTACAAGGCTCTCAGGGACTCCCCAGAGATGAGCACCCCAAGCTAGGCTTTAGGGCCCCATTATTTGAGGTAACCGCCTCTGAAATCACAGACAGGGATAAACCTATCTGGGCCCCATCGGCTGAAAGCCCAGAATTCCTTTTTGGAAACCAAGGTTCTGGTAACTTTGTGTCCTGGATGGCCTGCAGGACAAACCCTGCATAGTGTTAGGACGCGCTACCCAGAGCTCTTCCCTTATGCAAAAAGGACCAGGGTGGTGAATTAGGAGGAAAGAGTCTGCATCTTTGGGATAAAAATTACCTATTTCAGGTGCCTTGGGGAATGTCAGCGGGAGCCCGGCCGCACACTCAGGCCCCTCCCTCTTTGATGCCGGACCACGCCATCCTGGCGCCTTCCGGGTCTTTCCGGCACCAGAGCCTACTGGGACCCCGGGGCGCGGCCGTGGCCAACCTAACTGTGGTCTAGCGGCGCTTCCGCGCGTCCAGGGGCCTTGGCGCAGGAAGGGACCCAGTCCGGATCGTCCGGTGCGCCTGGTGCGCTAGGCGTCTCCAGCGCATACCGCGGCGGGCGGGCGCCTCCCGCAGTAGGTAAGCGGCGATGCTTGTCCCTCTAGACTCGCCTGCATCCGGACAGAAAGAAGTCCGCTCTCCCTCCCTCTGCCTGTCAGTTTCTTTGGTGAGTGCCGACGCCAGGGCCAGCGCGGGTAAAATCGTGCCGCACCCTCCCACTGGCCCAGCCCTGTACTTGCAAGTCCGCTGTAAGAGACAGCTTCTGGCCGCTTGTTTTGAATGCAAGAAAGCGAAGCATGGGCCGTGCTCGGGAGTGTTACTGTGCGAGTTTACAGGGAGAGGTGGGGATTCCCAGGGACACCACAGCCACAGCGAAAAGCAAGCCCTCCCGCCTTTCCCGCCGAGGAAACTGTGCCTAGGGTTGAGCGAGGGCTTACGTGGGAGCTGGGAAAGTAAAGAAGGGATGAGACAGGGAAAAAGTGAACGTTTCCTGGACAGAAGAGCCAGGAATTGGGACGGGGTTAGGAAAGGAGCAAAGTCCTTGAAACTTAAGTCCAAATTCCAGCAGCGGGGCGAGCAGGTGGGAACCCTTACGGTTGGAACGGCGGCGGCTGGGTGTAGTTGATTTTACGTGTGGATTTTTTGCCCTGAACGGCTGAGTCTTAAAGTTTCGCCGCGAAAATTTGGGGAGCATATGTGGGAGGAGTCGATTGCTGGGACAAAACATTCTGAGGCCAAAGTTAGAGCCAGGGTCGCTTCTTCAGACCCGGGAAGTTTCCCGCCTCCTCTTGCCCCGCCTGGGGCCCCTCCTCGCTCTAGCGTTCT